ATAATTTCTCAATCCATTTGTTTGTGGTTGGACGTCTGGGCTGTTTCCATGTTCTTGCGGTGGTGAATAATGATGCTATGAACATCATTGTACAAATCTCAGTTTGTGCCTCAGTTCTCATATTCTCAGGGTATATTCCAGGTAGTGGAATCATTCTTCATGGATTAATTTTGTTTTAATTTGACTACAAAGATGTAAACTTCTGGGCGAGCTCTGGTGGCCTAGTGGCAAGAAGCTGCAACTATAGTCCCAGAGGTGCATGGTTCAAATCCACCAGATGCTCTGCTGGAGAAGGAGGAACTATTTCCTCCTGTACCAGTCAGATCTGATTTGACGGTACACACAAAAAATAATGAAATAAAAAACAAAGAAGATGTAAACTTCTCTGATCTAAACTTTTTTCTCCCTTTCCATTTCATCCCAGACCTTGTTATAGTCTAACTCTCGTCAACCTTTGTAATCCTCCTAACTCGTAAAAGACGGTCCCCCTTACACAAGGTGTACCTTTACTCTTTACTTAGATTTGGTTCCTTCATTATCTGCAAGAATTCGTTGTTAGTTACTTCACCACTCTGCCTTCTTAATCTCCTTTTCTAATTGCCTTCCTACATTTACAGACATTATCACATGTCTCAACATAATTTCTTCCCCTGAATACCTTCTTTGACCACATTTTCTTTTGTCAAATTTTCTTGTTTCAAGTTTTTAAATAATTTTAAAGTAGAATGTCAGTGGTTCAAGGAAATAAGGGCTGTTTCTGTCAGTTCCTTTTGACCCCGTGACTTTTCATTTGCTTTTGCTGCTGCTTCTGGTGGTTGGTATTTTGCCCACAGCGTCCTTCATGATTGCAGCATGAAGCATGGATTTCTTCTGTGCTCTGTTCAGCATATCCTGATCTTCATTTTTGGTTTTCTGATTGCGGGTCCTTTACATATTTCACTGTAGTTTTACTTTGTCTTTATTTTATTATTTTTTATGCATGTACTATCAAATCAGATCTGAGTAGCACAGGAGGGGATTGTCCCTCCTTCTCCAGCAGAGCATCTGGTGGAGTAGTTTTACTTTGTCTTATCAAGCCTTTATGAAATCTGCCAGTGTCCAGCGTTCAGCCATTTGAAGAGGGAACGTATGATCAAGAACCAGTGATACCGAGGGAACAGATGTAAGGTGCACTGAAGGCATTATCAAAAATGAAAGTTCTCATAATAGTCTATGTGTTTCCTACTGCCAAAGGGGCCCTTTAGAGTAGTGAGAGAAGATCTTCACCCTGAAACCCACAGCGTCCCTTTTCAGCAGGAAGTAGCTAAGAGAATACGCCATCCCCTTTTCCTTATGACTCAGGGTGAAGTCTCTCTCAGGGAGGAGTGATAGGGAATGGCAAAGGATACACTGACAAAGAAGATTAATCAGAACTGGCTTTGACAAGCACTGTGGCATTTGGACAAGAACAAACTGGGAGGAGGGTAGAGAGAATAGTGCAACAATGAATGAATGGAAACCCAAAATCTCTGTAAATGTTTATGAAAATTAATAAAATATAGAAAAAAAAATGAAAGTTCTTTGACGAGGGAAGAAACCCACCAAGACCTATTGAAATGTTTCCACCAACAGATGTTAACACAGGAGGTGCTTGCTCAGCTGTGCCGGGCAGTTTGGAAGACAGCTGTCTGACCGACTGAACAGAAGAGTTCCTTGTTTGTTCCCATTTCAAAGAAAGGTGACCCAATAGAATGCAGAAATTATCCAGTAGTTTCATTAATGTCACATACAAGCTTTTGCTGAAGATAGTTAAAAAATGGCTGCAGCTGTATATCAACAGGAGACTGCCCAGAATTAAAAATGAATTCAGAAGAGGGTGGTGAAAAAGTCGGGATATCTTTGCTGATACTAGATGGATCTTCACTGAAAACAGAGAATACTAAAAAACCTTTGTTTTGTTGACTACTCAGGGGCATTCAACATCATGAATCGTTATAAATTATGGATAAAGTCTGTGAAAAATAGGAATTGCAGATCATTTAACGCCGCCACTGTGGAGCCTGCATGTCGATGAAAAGGCAGTTGTTTGAATAAAACAAGAGAATACTTTGTAAAACCCAAAATCTCTGTAAATGTTCATTAAAATTAATAATAATTTTTAAAAAAAGAATGTATTCTGTTTCTAGGTCCCATGGAGCGGCCATTTTCACTTCATGATGATGGATGTTTCCCTGGTCCATAGAGTTTCTATCCCTCAATACACTTCATCTGCTTTTTTAAAAAAAGAGAATACTTTGTGCTTTAAAATAAGGCAAGATGTGTGTCAGAGTTCTGTCCTTTCACGATACATATTCAGTCTGTCCTCTGAGCAGACAGTCTACAAGCTGGGCTGTGTGAAGAAGAATGTGGCTGCAAGACCAGGAGAACGTGGCATGCCCGTGACACAATCTTGCTTTCTGCAAGCAAAGAGGTCTTGAAGTACTTACTGATGAAAATCCAAGAGTATAGGCTGTGGTATAGATAACATCTCAACACAGAAATTCCCAGCGCCCTCAGTCAGCTCGAGCTCATAGCTGACCCTCTCCGTTGGAATTCCAAGGCTGTAAGTCTCATGGGAGGAGATTGCCCATGTCGCCCCCTCAGAGTGAAGGCTTTGAACTGCTGGAGGTTATGGCCTTCTGATGAGTAGCACAGCTCTGTAGACAGTGCCACAGTTGGATGCCATGAAAAATGGAGAAAATACTATCAGTGATTTGATTTTGCTTCGATCCACAATCATCAGTAATTGAAACAACGTATTGGGCAGATTTCCTGCAATCAACCTCTTTATGGGTGTTAAAAAGCCAACATGTCACTTGGCTAAAGTGACAAAAAAAAAGTGTCTGACCCAACCCATAATCTTTCCAGTTGCCTCATTTACATGGGACGGCTGAACTGTGAATCAGGAAGTCTGAATTATTCATGCATTCGACTTAGGGTGCTGGGGTGGAATGCTGAGTATACTGTGGTCTGCCGAAGAAGTGAGAGGACTGACTGCCTTACAGGTCCAGGCAGGATGCTCCTAACACTTGAGGAAGCCACGGACATGATGCACACAGGATAGTTCTGTTCTTCTTTTTTT